TTAAAATCTCACTGAACTAACAGGGTTCCTCCTTATAGCCTTCATGACCCATGACCTCCTGAAGCTGGTCACTTTATTTGTGGCACAGAGGAGGAGAAAGAAAAAAAAAGACAGTCTAAATGCACCTGTCCAAATATCAGGGAAATATTTTTTTTAAAAAAATGCAAGTTATAAAATCCTATACCAGGGCTGTGCTCTTCTTACAAAATATTCTATCAACAGTATGATTTCAATTTAGGATGGTATTTTTATCTTCTGTAGTGGAGCCTCTGTGTTACACAAGTGCTTTTGTTTGGATTTGCATATTAAATAATCTTGCAACACACACAGTTGTAAAATTCTTTGTCTTCTTTCCCCTTGCACAGTCTTGGAGGTGTGGCAAAATATATAGTATGCTCTGCTGTGGCTCAGTGGAGGAGCTTCTGCTTTGCATGCAGAAGGACCCAGGTTCAATCCCTGGCATCTCCAGTTAAAAGGACCAGGTAGTAGGTAATGTGAAAGACCTCTCTGCCTGAGACCCTGGAGAGCTGCTGCCAGCCTGAGTAGGCAAAGCTGACCTTGATGGGCCAATGGTCTGATTCAGTATAGGGCTGCTTCATGTATGCTCAAGGACATAAGAAGTGAAGCAAGGGCAGGCTGATGTGGGCCATTTTTCCCAGCAGCCATTGAGATGACCCCATGAAGACCACAACCATGGTAATGGGGCAACTAGTCTCCCCCATTGTCCCCAGCAATTGGCACTCAATGGCTTAGTACCTCTAAAAAATGGAAGTTCCACTTAACCATCCATTTTAATAGCCAATGTAGACTTATTTTCCATTAATTAGTCTAGTCCCCTTTAAAAGTCCATCGGCACATCTTTTGACAGTTAATTCTTTTGAGTTAGCATATGTGTTGAAGTACTTTCCTTTCCGTATGCTTAGATCACAGATGCTGGCTTCATTGTCATCTTTGGGTTTTATTTTTCAACGGAAGAAAAAGCAGAAGGAAACACCAACCCAAAACATTTCAGATATCATTCAGCCACTGAGGACTTCACTTTGTGCAGAATTAATTTTATTAGTTTTGTCAACCAGCATTGTCCAACTAATACACAAATCCCACTGAGATGATTGTAAACTCATACATAGTACTCTCCACAAGAAATATGTAAACCAAGATCTACAGATTCTGATTCAATTACATACATTTTGACATACCCCTTGGGGAGGGCATCATGACCAGTTCCCCCCCAGTATACATGAAATATCTGGTACCAGCTGTACAGACACTACACAGAACAATGCTTAATTTTAGAGAACAGATCTCATGATTGCCTCACATTTGCAAAGTCCTTGTGAGATCCTGATCCTCTGCTTATTCCTCTTTCAAAGCCAAATCTGTAGTTTAGAGATAGCCACTTTAGACCATGTATGTCAAAACAGTCATAACTACACAGGCAGAGAGGTTTGCATCTGCAAGCCGCCATTCCCCCCCCCCCAATCCTAGTACTAACCACCTACTTCATCATCAGTTGTTCACAACTGCCTGTGGTGTTCAAAGAATCTTAAGATTTACCATCCCTTTCAAGACTGGAGTATTTCTGAAGGTAGGCTTGGGTTGAGGATACTTAAAGGGCTGCAATCAGACAGCTGACTGTGTGGAATCAAAATTCTCAACTAGTGGACTGACACCATAAATTATAGTGCTATCCTGGTTTCTAACTAGTTACATCTTCATGGCCGCGCTTATTCACAAGCAAATGGTTCTGAGCAAAAAGGCTACATTCACTCCAACTAATGGGAAGTGGAAATTGATTTTCATTTTGAATCACGTTGGATACATCTAGCTAACATGGACAGAAACTCCACAAAGAAAGTGGATCCAGAAAACAGAATGGTGCTACCTTCCCATTACCTGTGAATCAATAATATAGTTCTTCCCACAAAGTAATACATATTACTAACCCATACATTCATTTTGTTGTACTGCAGTTAGGAAGTCACTTAGGACTAAAGAGTCACAATGTACCTAAGAAAGTACAAAAAGGAATGAACTTGCCTGCCTGCCAAACTGACATTCCACGGAACTACTGCTTGGTAATTGTACAGCAACAGTTAATAACCACTGGCCAATGCAAGTCTTTACCACAGGTATTTTTAGTCAGTTTTTTTAAAAAACCTCTCTTTCAAATCCTTTCAGGCTTTGTTCACTGGCCTGTCAGCTGTCACAAAAGCCATCTTCCAAGTGCACTTCTGCAGCAGAGCTGAAAATTGCCTTTCTAATTGCTGCAAGCTGTACATGGAACCAACATGGATTAAAGTAGAAAGAAATGTTTATTTTTATCCCTGGAAAAAGTGTGTTGCCAAGCTAAAATATTTGTATCAGAACAGTACATCAACCATTCAGTTTCTCTCTCAAAAGAGGAAGTGAGGTAAAAGAGAAGGAAGCTACATGGTGATGGAAAGCTTATAATGTTTTGCGGTTTCTAGAATCTTCTGAATGACATAACACCATCCATATAACCACCATTTTGCAGCCCGTTTATATGAAATTATTTTAAGACATCAGCACCATCCCACAAGCAAACATTCAGGCACATTGGGACAAGGCCAAGAGAAGCTTACCTCAACTTCAAATAGGGCTTAACTACATGTTACATTTCCCCCCTTGCTCCATGCAAGCAGATATGTTTTGTGAGTTTGATGCAGCTACTGAGGTGTATGTGGGCCTGATCTGCTGCACATGAGAAGGGGCGTGAGTCTTCTCCCATGTCATTTTTTTGACCTGAAATGGGCCTGGGAGGCAGTATTTGCCTTGCTGGGGGAGCTCTTTGTGTACTGATTGGGTACATCTAGATTTCCCCAGGGGGACAAAACATGCCCTTAAGGGGTCATTTTAGGTCAGGAAACACAAGGAGACGGGGGGAAACCTCAGTGTACAATGTGGTCCTGATCCAGTTTGGACCTGTGCATGCCTGGAAATTGAGTTCCCATAATGGAACTTCAAGGCACGTGTCTGATCACACATATCTGGGAAGAACCCAGGGAAGATGCACTGCTTAGTTAGATACTCAGGTCCTTTGTTGTTTGGCATCGCAACCAGACTCATCAACCACAACCATGCTTGTTTGAAAGCTGGTATTTTCATTTTTAATGGAACTTTCCGATCTGCTAAAGCTTTTTTTCTGGAAGAAACAAACACAACTTTGATGCAGCCACCTTTGTGAATACTGCAGTCTAAAAGTAAAATAACTGGTATGACAGAGATAAGGAGCTTATCACATAAAAACATTTGTGCCTTTATTTCTGCCTTCTTAATATCAACTACATGCCTGTCTCTAAGCCCATTCAACCAGCCAGTCACCACAGTGAATCTGCAGAGTGTCTTCAGCAGCTTGGGGGGGGGGGGGAGAGGACAATTGCCTCCCACTGTTCTTCAAGAAGTCACAGTAGCAGATACATTTCTTCAACACATTTACATCAGTTCAATTTTAGTTTTGTTGGACAAGCTAGCCAGGATTTCCCAGGATGTACACAAGCATCACGATCAGCTCTGGTGCTCTCAAAAGACCGTTGGAGTGCTTAAGCCACCCAGTTCTACAGCCTAATGATCGACCTTGAGTTTGTTTTAACGGCGAGGCTGCATTTAAAAAGAACACTCACAGGCTAATTTGTAGTTGCTGCACTGACACACTATTCACAAATACACTTTGAGGGAAATGGATGATTGAAACATAACCTGCCTTCACGCTTGATGCGCATCTGTCTGAGACGGGGGAAGCGACACTGTAGCCACTCCCCAAGAAATACCTTGATGAGGCGGCACAGAGACCAGAGGCCCTGGTTCTAGTCACTAAGTAGGGCTGTTTGAACGTGATGTTGGAAAGGCAAAAGCTTTCTTTCATCAGGCTTGCACTTGCATGGCATTCTACTCAAACTGCACTGCTATCCGTGCAAAGGAGGAGGGCCACACGCCCACTTTGCACAGGTTGACAGCCCAAGTTTAGATGCAAAGTCCTAGAGGGGGGAATGCTGGTGCCTCACCCATGTCACACTGAAACCGACCCCAATATGCCATTACCCTGCAAACAAGGTTCTACTAGGTTTGCCAACTCTGCCTTGGGAAATTCCTGAAGATCTTGGAGGTGGAGCCTGGTGAAGGCAGGATTTATGGAGTGGAGGGACCTCAGCGAGGTACAATGCCAGATTTCACCCTCCAAAGCAGCCATTTTCTTCAGGGGAACTGACCTCTCTTGTCTGGAGATCAGCCTTAATTCCAGATCTCCAAGCCTCACTCGGGACTGGCAAACCTAGGTTCTACTTTCAGCTCAGCATTTCATGAGGGCAAAACCTGATCTACTGGAACACAGATGCATTTGCTGATTCCCCCCCCCCTTTGTCACTGGCTCAGAACTTGTCTTTCCAGTGACACATTTAATTTGTGATGTATTACTGAGATTTAGCTGGACTCTAGATATTCATTGTTTAAACTCTATTACTCCAACGAGTTAAAAAAAAAATCTGCATCACATTAGCCAGCATGCATATGGCAGTTGAACCAATCAATGACCTTTCTCTGTTCACGACATAAACGCACACACACAGGACACCAACATGATGAAAAAAGGGAAAGGAATGTGTTAACTGGATACAGCTACTGTGGAGCATCTCTCTAGAAAGATGGCGACTTCCTCCAAATTCGGCAATATGGCAAGATTATCTTTCAAGGCCTGAAGAGCTTTTTGATCTTCTTATGTAAAAGCTAACAGTGTCTATTGGTCACTGAAATGAGAAAACAGCACCTTAGTATTCACTACTCATTATTAAAGCAGGATATATTAAAGCACGTATAAGAATAATCATTCTGAAAACAATCAATTTGGAGCTGTCATAAAGACTGGGCTCTTATTCCTTATAACAGTGAAATACAAGCTGGGCAGACCAAATATCTGGACTGATACTTGTTTCTGCAAGTAAAAAAAAGGTGACAAAATGAGGGGAATAGAATAAGAACTCACTTCACTTTAAAAATTTGATTTCTGTATCAACACAGTCATAGAAAAGGTCTTCTACTTCTGAAGGATCAAGAACTTCAGAGCTGGTAAGGATATTCTCCATCGCTTCCAAGCCTTGTTTTTCAAGGCCCAGCATGGTTCTTCTCAAGTTTTGACCTTTCTGTTAAGAAAAAGGGAACATCTATGAACTAAAGTGACTTGAGCCATGACCCTGCAGAATCTGTCTCTATATACATGCACAAATTTACAAGAAGAATGGAGGTATGTGTTAAGCAAGCAAGACATTGCACTTAAAAAGTGTTGGACAGTGACAGTGCTATCAAAGAAAGGGAAAGTTACATACATTTATTGTTGGATTAAGTTCTGTCATCTCTGGTCTAAACATGTCTTCATTAAGAAAAACTTTTAAAAAATTAAAGATTAAGTACTGGAATATAAATGGTCTCCCCAGTTAACCAAATATTAACTAAGACCACAGCTTTTTTTTTCTAGTGGAGAGGTCTCAAATAAAGAATTGTTTGTGTCTCTTAAAGACCATGTGCTCAGCTACTACTAATGCCACTTGTAAACAAGCTTTGTAATTTTTGTAAAAGTCTGTGGAATTTTACAGACTAACAAATATTGGTTCCCATGACTCCCTTCCACTAAGTTGGATTTTATGACTTTCTTCTATTAAGTCTTCCTTCAAAGAGAAAACTGAGAATGACCTCCTCCTCTACTGGAAAAAAGTCTTTCTTTGCTGAAGCAAGACTTGGCGGAAGGCAGTCATAGGATCCTACACATTGTGACATAAGATTTCACAGAGCCCACTAGGAGATCTCATTTTTAAAATGACATCTTTTGCAAGCCAGACATAGGACATTAAAAAAACCCCAACACCGTAAAGGCCTCTTTCCATTGCACTTCCGGGGGGCGGGCGTTTGTGAGCCATTGGCAGTAAAACACTTACTTGAATGTGATAGCTCCCTAAGCCCTCGGGTCTATCCCCACAAGAAACAAGCATCTTCAGACAGTAGGTAAGAGACCACATTAAACTAAGTCAAGTAGTTCACATGGTCCTTTCTCCCAGTAGTGAGGGAGGAGTATACAAGTGCAAGTTTCTTACATTCTCTCCTCAGAACAGGCCCCAAACAAGGGGACATTTAAACATTACACCAGCACCTCTTCCACTGGTTTTTCTCATAGTGCTAGGCTAGAGTCACTTTTATTTATTAAACATTTCTACCCAGCCTTTCCTTGTGGTTCAAGGCAGCTCACAATAATAGTTTAAAAAACATTTCCAGTTGCAACCAAAATAAAATAGTAAACCCCAAATCCCTCCCTCCCTCCCCTTTAAGATGTCTGTCAATTCAAACCTCTCAAAACCCCTGAGCAAAACAGGAGCCTTGCAGTACCTCCTGAAAATCTCCATGGAGAGGGCTCACCTCCCCTCTTCACAGAGCCCACTCCACAGAGCGGAAACCACTATGAAAAGGGCCCAGTCTCTGGTTAGGGCTGCCAAATCCCCCCGCGGAGCGGAAATCCCCCCGCCCCAGAGGCCCGTTCCCCGACGCCTGGGAATCGGGCCCCGGGGGAAACCCCGCCCCAGCGTGCACGTCACAGGGAAGTGACGTTATGATGCCGGGCACGCTGGGGGCGGGGCCACGGCCATACAAGGG